ACAATTACATAGGTGTCCAGAATGTGAATTGTACCTCAGGAATCAGCATAATTTGAAACGTCATTTTAATAGAATGCACAAGGATCTTGATAGATTGACTTGTAAAGAATGCAAAAAAGTTTTTCCAAAAAAATATCAGCTTCAAAGGCATATGACAGAACACTCTACCTCATATACATGCAAAATGTGTAATAAAACTTTTACAAATATAAGAAAGTTTAACAGACATAAGAAGAGTCATGAACCAGGAGACAAACAATACCCTTGCCCTGTGTTGGGATGTACTGAAGTTCTTGGCAAGTGGCTATTTCTTCAAGCTCACATTAAAACACAACATGTGAATGGTATATATTCTTTTAGTGATTCTTATTTAATTGTAATTTCAAATTAGCTGAGAATACTTCATGTTTTCTTTTTACAGATCACAGATGTAAGGACTGCGACAAAGTATTCTTAAGTAGAAATCACTTGAGAAATCATTCTATTATTCATGTAAAGGATAGACCTCGTTTGTCTTGTCCATATGACAAATGCCCGCGTGTGTACATGACTCAAAGCACTTTAACAACGCACATACGAATTTATCATTTAGATAAAAAATTCGAGTGTGATATATGCAAAGTAAGGATTGGAACGAAATCAAACTTAAGATTTCATATTGAGAAGCTACATATGTCGGAGAGAAAGATCAAGGAGATAAAAAGAACGCAACGGAAAAGACGAAAAGATATTGGAATACCAACTAGGAGTGCGGTGTCCAAGTTGGTTGGAGTTAATTTACCACCGAAAATAGAGAAGTTAATACTAGAAAGGAAAGAACCAATAGAATACTTAAACCAGTTTGAAATAGTGACAGAAGAACCCAAAACTGATTCGTGATTAATTAGATTCATAAGAGAACTAATTAAAATTCTTAATTCGCAAAGTACTGTTCTTATTTTTATTACCCCATACCCATCCTTCTTTTTCTTATTTTCAATGTAAGATCTAATTTTGTTATGGAGAAAGAAATTTCTGACACAGGTATACAGCTTGGGACACGGAATCTAAGCCAGCTCGGGCTTGTGTTAGTTACCCGTAGGGGGGCTGAATTCAAGAAAGAATAATAAGGCCGCCGGCCGGTATTTAGCAGTATTCAGAGTAGTGATGGGCACTATCGACTAATTTAAAGTAACGACTACCTAGTATTTAT